GGTCCTAAGACTAAGCCTTGTGGTACACCATTGTTGACTGTTAAACAACTGGAGGAAGTACCATTATGTTGAACACATTGCCTCCGGTCTGAGAGATAGTTAGAGAACCAACCAATGGTGTGTTCTGAGAAACCAATTTCTGAGAGTTTATGACACAAGATGTTATGATCCAGAGTGTCAAAATCTTTAGACAGATCTAAGAAAAGTGCAGCACAATAATCCTTAGCATCCAGTGCTTCAACAACGTCATTAAGAACCTTCAGTGAAACAGTCATGCTGTGTTGTTTCCTGAAACCAGATTGAAGGCCAGGTAAGATGTTAAATGAGTCCAGGTAATTTTTGATTTGAGAGTTTATCAGTTTTTCTAGAACCTTCTAGAATTTGTTTTATATGCTGTATACAGTATATTTTAGAAATTATATATTTTTGGTTTTGTTTTCCTTTATTTTTTGCCTCTATGTATGCCTTAAAAATGATTCAGTACTGTTTTGATTGATTGATTTGTTTGTCACATTTTAAATTCAGGTAAGTACGTATGGGGTGGGGTTGGGCTCTACATAAGCACTGTGTATGTGTCCCTCAGTGACACAGAAAATGAGCAAGTCTCTCAAAACCCGACCCTGTTGTGAGCAGTGACTAGGTGGTTCACATCTCTATTAGTGTGTGCAGCTAAACTAGATTTCCCCTCAGCTAAAATATAGCTACACAAAACATCACTTACTTTGTTATCATATATATCATATTTACCGTGGATATTAGCATTTATTTGTGACTTAGCAGGGCTCCAGATGTAATCCAAAACCAGTATGATCTGCTAACTGTTGTGATTAGTGGCCAGACTAGCTAATATGAGCAATAAAAGTCAATCCCAATGGATTTCTCTGTGTTCTCTTCATTCATACACTACAGCAACATGCCCTGATGCATGCTCAATAATCCAGGTAAATAAGATTGTCAGGTCCTCTGGACGGATTCTTCTTTGTTGAAACGTTTCGCCTTTTATCCAAACGACTTCTTCAATCTGAGGAGCTGCACAAAAAAGTCTTATAAGCAGCACTTTCTTACAGTGGATCAACCAGTTTGCTGGTGACAGACAGAACTAGCAGTTCACATGTAAAAGGAGGTAGAGTACATGTGTGTGAATGAGAGGGAGGCCGGTGGAACAGTGAGGCTGCAAGGAGCAGAGGTCACAAAGCTGCAGGACTTCAAGCACTTGGGGTCCACTGTCCAGGAAAATGGGGAATGTGGCAAAGAGGTGAAGAAGAGAGTCCAGGCAGGATGGAGTGGATGGAGAAAAGTTTCAGGAGTGATTTGTGACAAAAGGGTGTCAGCAAAGGTCAAAGGAAAAGTTTACAAGACAGTGGTGAGACCATTTGTATGGTCTGGAGACAGTGGCATTGACAAAAAGACAGGAGAAAGAACTGGAAGTGGCAGAAATGAAGGTGTTGAGGTTTTCCTTAGGCGTGACAAGGATGGATAAGATTAGGAATGAGATCATCAGAGGTACAGTACAGGTTGAACAACTGGGAGATAAAGTTAGAGAGGCCAGACTGAGATGGGTTGGACATGTCCAGAGGAGGGACAGTGGGTATACTGGTAGAAGGATGTTAGAAATGCAGCTACCAGGAAAAAGACGAAGCGGAGATATATGGATGCAGTTAGAGAGGACATGGAGGTAGTTGGAGTGAGGACAGAGGATGTAGAGGACAGAGATGGAGGACGATGACTCGCTGTGGTGACCTCTGAAGAGGGTAAAGCCAAAAGAAGAAGAAGAAAAAGAAAAAGGAGGACCATCAACCTAACAATTGATTGTTAGTGCTCTGATGGCCACTTGCTATTCACAGGGGGCTGAGTGATGCTAAAAATCACAACATTGTAAGAGGGGGACAATTGGTCACAGAGGCCTCCATCCCTGTTTAATGATGGATGGTTTCTTTTCACAAGGATGGCTTCCTTCATCTCTCAAACCGTCGTTCCTCTCTATCAAGGATGTGAACATCTTCATCCCTGAAAGAGTGACCCCTGGTCTGCAGATGAGTGTAGACTTCAGAGTCCCGGTCTGACGTTGTTGCTCTTCTGTGCTGGTCCATCCTTTTGGCCAGTGGCTGTTTAGTTTCCCTGATGTAAGACTGATCACCCTCCTGACACTGAACAACATACACAATATTACTCTGTTCGTGCCGGGGGACTGGATCTTTGGGATGGACCAGTCTTTGCTGTGATGTAGCTTGGGATTTGAAAGCCGTTGGGATGTTATGTTTAGAAAATAAACGTCTCAGTTTCTCTGACACTCTCGCAACAAATCTTATGTTGCTATAGCAACATATTCTTAGATATTTTAAAGTACTGTGTTTCATTTATTTATCGAGATACAAACTGACAGAAGTGAAAATAAAATACTTATTAATGGAGCTTTCATCACTCTTTGTCTGCGAGGCAGCCAATGTGGATTTTGAGTTAAGGGCTGGTCAACAATCTTTGACTTTCCAAGTCAGATTTCTGACTTTGTAAGGCACTCCATCTGATTTTTACAACTAAAACTGAGAAATTCCTTCTTTTCAAACACAAATAGAACATACCACAACTCCAAATACAAAATCTAACATGGCTGCCTCAAACATCGAGCTGCAGTAACAAATATTTTATCTTCTCGTTTGTAAGTTTGGATCTCATTAAATAATTTGTACAACCTCTACAGGAAACGTGTTCCTACAGTATTTGAGTACATAAATAAATAAATTACCGTATACTGCTGTCAGCTTATATTAAAACTAGTTAGCCCGGCTACTCGAAAATAAAAAAGTCCAAAATAAATACGTCTCATAAGCAAATTAAGAAATAATTCATATTTGAATTGAAAACAAATTTTTTTTAAATTAAAATCCAATTAAATAAAAAAGAATAAGGACACAAATTACTACAGCAAGAAATTTAAATACATTAAAGCATCAGTTCTTATCTCTGGAGCAACAAACGTCTGAAACAAACTTTTTTTTTTTTAAACATTTTTGTTGAGTTTACACATTAATTTATTAAGCCACATTTTTATTTACACATTGAATATTGGCATATTATATTCCCCATATAACAAAAGCTACCAGCAGATGAATGAAGTTGCAACAGCACTCAGCTAACTTATTTAAAAGTTTTTAAAATCCATTAAGTTTGATGTATTTCTTCTGAAAACAAAAAGCAGACGCCAACTGTAACTTTTACACAGAACCAAACCCAACAAGGAGACGAGCTCGAGTCATGAATGTTTAAATTCAGCATTTAGGACTGGTTCAAAGCATTCCTATAAAAACCTAACAGCGTTGAATACTGTTGACCTCAGACAGGAGAAGTTTATGCTTACCTAGTGGAGTTTAATATAGAAACAGGAGATGCATTAACGGAGAAAATGTTTAAATAATAGATGAACTCCTGGCTGCTTTCATCGGGGATCACGTCTTTTATTTTGTTTGTGCAGTGATGAAATTGCACTCATCTACAGATTGCCCTGTTTTAAAAGTCATCATAGTTTACACCTCTCTGAACCCACACTCGCAATAACAACGTGACCTGTTTTCACTTCAGTTTGAACACAGAGTTCTTCTTTGTCTGACTACCTCCTGCGTGCAATGACCTCAAACCAGAGGTCACTGGATTAGCAGCGTTCACTCAAACTATCTGAAACTGATGCAGGACACATCTCTCAGCATCACCAGCTGTGTGCATCAAGATGAGTAGGAGAGATTTTTCTTTTTCTTAACCTGGGGAATCCCAAATGGCTGAAAGTTGCCTGAGCTGGTTTGTACAACGGATGCAGGAGGAGACGGCGGCTGGAGGAAGTGACATGGGGCAGGGATGGAGCGAGTGGGAGGGGAGAGTTTAGGGATTTGCATGGCTCGACAGCTGGACTGAAAAAAAAAAAAAAACAGGCTATTTCAGGACGGGATTTATACGTTTGGTTGCTACCTCAAATCCTGAGAGAGCGGAAGCTTAAAGTGATGGCTATTGCGTGAGGTCTTATCAGTGTCTTTAATCTGGCATTTTTTACTGAAATATTGTCAGCAAACTAATCCTTGATGCAACTTTTGTATATCGATGGATAACATATTCAAGATTTTGTTACATTTCTGACTAAAATATTAATTTCCCATGCTGAAGTATCCCTATACAACTTTCACCGTGAGATCAATTGTTGGGACCACTTTGACTGCAAATATGCTCCTTCATCACATATTACTTGTAATATTTAGTGCATAGTTTACCAAATGTTTCTGCTTTCTGTCAACCTTTAATATTTTAGCCACAGATTTTCTATTCAAAATTGAAAAAAACTAGAACAGCAAATTGACAAGCCGCCGAAGAAGTTATTCACAACTTTTTTCCCCACTGCCTAAATATGAAAATACGAGGTCAACTTTCTGAAATATTACTTTCAACTTTATAAAGATTAAATTTTAATCTCCAGTGTAATCAATATCCCACAGCCCAAGTCTCTCCAATCAGTGGTGCACCCAGAGACTGCCATGATTTTAGTTTCTGCACGTTTATGTTCACTGAATTAATTTATATTTTAGATTTCAAAACAGTTGTCACCATTTCTGAATCTATAAAAAACATTATATTATACTAAACTACTCTGTGTACCAGAAGACAGGTAATTATAGATAGATAGATAGATAGATAGATAGATAGATAGATAGATAGATAGA